CTTAAAAATCATAAAAAATCTTAAAAAAATCTTAAATCCTAACCTCAAATTAAATTGTAATAAATTCCTAATAAAATTCTAATCAAATCTTAAATTAAATATTAATAAAATCTTAATGAAATCCTAAATTAATCTTAAATCTTAATTAAATCCTAATAAAATCTTAATCATATCCTAAATCTTAATCAAATCCTAATAAAATTTTAAATAATCCTAAAAAAATACTAAATAAAACTTAATTTATTACTACAACTTTTTTGAAACCTCAATAAATAATAATTGAACCATTGATCTTAATTAAAATTTTATTCAAATTTCAATGCACAAGCAATTTATAAATATACAAAGTTTGAGAAGAATCGAAATTACCAATTGAAAGAAAAGCTCTTGGAAATTGGCCGCCATCCTTCTCCAACTTAAATATTGATCTCTCAATAGCAATTTTTCCTTATTTAATAGTTCAATTGCTTCAAAATTTGGCTACTATATAGGTTTCTAATTTTAAATTACTTTTGCTAATTTTTTCTTCAATCAAATTGGCAAGTGTTGTAAGATTGCAAAAATCCTCATTGACCTTAAATTTTAATTATTTGAGACCATAATCTACAAAAGATCTCATAACCTTCAATCTAATTGCTTAATTGATATCAAATTTTTTACACACATTTAGTACAAATATAATTATAAATGGAAAAAATTTTACTTATAAATATACTACGACACTTACAAAATCATCAAATGTATAAATTAATTTTTATTTCTCAAAATCTAAATCCATTGAGTATATCTTTCACTTTGAAAAGCCTTCTAAATCTCGATTTGTCTTTAAATCCCATGAAATCAACTTTCAAAATTCCTATTACAAGTTTGCTTCCAAATCCCACTTTTTGATCATCCATAAAATCTCAGTTATGGTACATGTATAATTTTGTGTCTCAAGATCTGATTTCAACCTTGATTCACAATCAATCTTTTTTGGATATCAACTTTTAGTATTTTGAAGTAATATTTTTTGTAAATCTATTCTTGATTTTTTTCTAAAGATTTTGATATTGATTATATATTTACCTTATTTTTATTTGACTCATTTATATTCCTATAAAGTAAATATAAGTCTCTTCTACAAGAAGGTAATATTAGTACATGGTATTTTTTTTACTACCTCCTTGTTTATTATCTATATTTTTAAGATAATTTATTAAAATATTTTTATTTGAGCTCCTATATAATAAAATATTTCCTCTCTTTTGTTAGATAATAGTCATGTTATTATATGACAATATATTGGCTATCACAATTTTGGAAGAAAATCTTACTGTTTGGTGATTTTATTAGCAGTAGGAATTATTCTTCATGATGCTTGTAATATTTTATTTGAAGGAAGTTATAAAGGCCTCAACATTAATCAAATAAGAAGTGATCTTTCTATCCTAATATAAGACACTATCAATAATTAAGAGGACTAATCAATTACGTTCAAAGAAAACAAAGATCAAAGTATGTGATAAGTACAATTTGTTGCATCTTAGACTTCTTCAATATATTATTATTTCTCTTCATGGAATTTGTTTCTATAAGAAAAGATAATATCATAGATATATATATATATATATTTATTTAGATAAGAAGTATTAGGTAGAAGATAAATGAATGTAGATTTCATATTATCTTATGGCATAGCTTCTTAGAAGCTTTATAGATATATATTTGACTTTATACATATTTATAGTTTATTGGTAGGTTAGAAACTTGGCCAAAAAGTTAGCCTCATGTTGTTTGTATTGATAGCTTATGTTACAAGCTAATGATGTGGAGCACATATAGGAAGCCTGCTTTACACATTAAGACACATGTTTTACAAATTACACATGTATTAGAGGTCTTATAAAATGTCGTTAAATAGCTTGTAGTTAGATAGTATGTATGGAAGTAAGAGTGAAGCCTTCTATACACTTATCAATGTCTTTCTAGTTCTTAGTCTTGTTTTAAGACTTTATAATTTTCTTCTCTTTGGCAATAGTTATTTTAATTTAATATTATATTATTTTAAAATTATATTTTTGAATGATACAAGAGTGTATTGATTTTTTTATTCTTCAAGATTCATGTCCTTGATAATATACCTATTTTTCTAGCAATGAAGCATAATAGATTAAAAAAAGACTTATAAGAATTAAAAACTAAGTTAGAAGATATTAAAGCTAAGCTTAAGTCAACTTATATACAAAAAGCCAAATTTGAGGTAGGTAAAGTTCCTTCTCTTGTGCAATTACTATGAAATGCTAAAAGTATATATTATTTAATATATTAATGGAATTTTGATAATCACATGACAATTATGTAAAGCTTATGATTGATATGTTTCCTTCAATATCAAATTTTAAAATTTTGTAGCAAAATATAAATTTTGATTAGAATTTATATCTTATTTAAATTATTTTTTAAAATTATTATTTTTTTATTCCATAAAAAAACATAGTTTTTAAAACAACCATGATTTTGAAAAACTCTCACAAAGTCATTATCTATCTAAGTTATTTAATACCAATACTTAAAAAAACCTTATCAACTTTTCTTTTTAATTCTATTCTTTAGTCTACAAAAAAAAAAAAAAAAAATATTAGTTGAAAGCATGTGGTTTTGTATGTCATGATTTGATTTTAACTTAGGTTTACAACTAGTCTTTTCTAGGTACTAGTCTAAAAATATTTCTCAATAATATTTATTAAAAGCTATTCTTTACTTTTAAATAAAGGTTTCTATAACAATATTTTTTCTAATCTACTTTTTTATATTATTTATGGTTATAAAAAATAAATAGAAATATTTTTTATAAAAATTATGGCTCTAATATTATTATTTTTTCTACTTTTATATCTTTTATCTATTATTTTAATATTATTTTTATTTTATCTTTAATTAATATTATTTTTTTTTGGTTTTTCATCCAATATTTATATTACAACATGACATTATCGTCATAGAACCAAAAATTACCTTATTTGAGAAGTTTGATAATATAAGGTGGAAGTTTTAAAGATTTATCAATCAAATAAAATTATTGATTGAGCTTCAATATGAAAGCTTTGCACCTTAATAATCATAATTCAAGTTTATTGAAATATTAATTTTTGATTCTATCTTATCATATTTTTATCTTTTTTTGAATGACATAATTTACTATTAAATAACTCAAAGATTTTTTTAACAAAATTTTGATTCATATATTAAAAGCATGATGCAATTTGTATTGCAACCAATAAAATTTGGATCTTATGCTAAAAAAATTATTCACTATTAGTATATGCTTTACAATTTTGATAAATGACAAGTGATAGCAAGTAGGATAATAATGCAATTACTAGCTAATTTCTTCATGGATTGTAACATGCAATAAAAAAATTGAGGCTAAACTTACTTGATCCTCAAACATTGAATCAAGTAATTGAACTTGTTGTAAAATATAATGGAGGCATGAGGTTAGCTAAAGATTCAAGAATAATAGCTGAGAAAATATAAAAAGATATTTATAGTATTGGTACTAAATCTAAAGGCACAACTTAAGCTTAGGCTAAGAAGGTAGACTACTTAAAGATTGGATAGTCATTGCATTAGGTAGTTGTAAACTAGTGCAAAGAGTATGATGGTAGTGGACACAATAAAACTTGGGATAGAATAATATTAGGCAAGAGGCCATGTATGTTTGAAGTGTGTGCAATAAACAAAGTTTATTATTGAATTGGTGTGCATGTTACTAATTATAGACACTTTACAAAGTTTGTCTTGTGCTTGCTTGTTACTCCAATTGCTTGAGTAACAATATGATACACATAAAATATACCGACTAGAATAATGGACACTGATGATATGGGGGCATCCCATCCATCCGAACAGTCACATCCGCACATCATCCGTGACACAGTCATCCATATTGACAGAATTTATCCCCAGAGGCATTCGACATGGATCATAACCGAGAGCGCGGAGGCCATGCCACCAGGGTAACACACACGAGGATAGCCAAAGCTCCAGACAGAGTGGGGCTGGGAGGGGGGCTTACTCCCCGCAGCAGCGTCACCATCTCGCCTCTTGCTCTCGCCCTCTAGCTCTGCCTCCATTTCATCACCACGCTGGAAACGCCGCCTTGACCGCCGTGGGCCTGGTTTATTCATGGCTTACTCGCTGTTTTCAGCGTGAAAGAGCCGATGCCCCCACCCCCCGACAATCAGGGTGATCGCCCGCTGTGTCTCGCGATTGCTGGGGTCCGCTGCTGAAAGGTTTTCCACAACAACTGGATGGAGGCTCTACTTTCAGAAAGTTTCCCGCATGAATGCACGCTTTGACAGGCAGTCATTATTCCAAAAACACATCGCCAATGCCAACGAGCCTGTCCCACAATTCGATCCACCCAGCAGATGCGCAGGAGCTGTCGACCGCTTGGAATGCGATCATGGCATCGAATCCACTCATTTCACACTCGGTTGATTGGCCAGCTGCTTCCACATCGCTGTTTCACCACACTTAGAATTAGAAAGAGTGTTGGGTCCAGAAATAGTTCTCGTCAACCGACAACAGCAGCACCAACCATGTAACCGTTGCTTGTAGCATGTGTGATCGCGTCGTAGAAAGAAAACAGATCACAGGGCGTGCGACCAAGATAAGGCGATTGAGGCACAATGTGCAGGATATTGTTAAGGCAGGACAGATTGGGGTGGGAGCCAAAGCAGCGCCACACAGACCGAGGCAGATGGAAACAACCGGAATGAAAGGTTGTGCCATGGGGCCAGATAGTGACCACTGGAGTGATGGATTTGACTGCTGGACGTTGTCGACCATGTCGATGAAATGAAAGTAGAAGGCAGGAAAAGGCAAGTGCCCAGCGCAACTGCGAGAGAGAGAGAGAGGATTTCTTTTTCATTTTAAAAAAGTGGGACCCACCGAAGAAGCGGCAAGCAACGAAGATTGACCAGAGCGTTGGTGGGATAGGAGAAGTGGTCCGCATACGGTGGCGCAAGAGCAGGATACGGAGCTCGTTCTATTGATGGTCACGCAACGAGAAGAGGAGATTAGAACGGAGACGAGAGGAAACCAGAAGAGGGGGCAGCTGCGACCATTTTGAATCCCACCTTGGTTTGACGAGGTTTGTTGTGTTGCGCCCTCCTCCACCACCTGCTTACATCTTGGCCCAAGCTTGTGTCAAGAAGATGCACCATCTGGATGCATCCGCAACTCCACACCAGCCGCCAATTCGTCGTGTTTCTGGTAGTTCTTTCTCAGCGTCGGTACTTCATTCATTTGGCGGATTGCGCACCAGGTTAGAACGAGAGATGGGACCGGCCGAGGGTAAAGTGTTCACGTCATAATTCCTTTCTTCTACCATGTTCCTTCTTGCGGAAGAGTTCAATTCTCGGTGCGGAGCTTCGAAGGTTGAGAAGCTGTGGATGCGTGGTCGAGTGGTGGTTCCTCGCAAGTCGCTCGATGGGCTCCACCGTAGGTCCATGAGTGGGGCGATTTGTGGGTCAGAATTGTGATGCCCTGGAGGTCTTGAAGCTGAGCAGACAAGGAATCCTTTTTTTGGTGTTGCATCAGTCGGTTCGAAATATGGGTTTAGTGTGTCGGATAGTAGTTTTTTCAGATGGTGGTTCAGAATTGGAAGCACTTGTCATCAACTCGAAGGTTTTGCGGCGAAATTAGACCAGCGAGCAGGTGTAGTGAATTTAAAAGGAACTCGGTTGTGCAGATCTTGGTTCATGGGCGGTAATATTTGAGCTGATTCTGTGAAAAGGATTGGTGGGAGAGGAGGGGTGTTCGATTCCCAAAGATCATCCAACTCTCGAGGCACAGATCCTAGCATTGTCTCTTAATTTGTCGAGAAGACTTATGTTCGACCACTCGAGCCTTGCACTGATACACGGAGCTCCCGTTGAACATGCGGTGCTGTGTGAAGTTGAAGTTCTACGTGCTAGTTTGCACATGAAGAAACCTGGATTTCTGTTCCTTGAACTTTCTTCTTGTCAGAAGCTATCAGACTCTTTATCGATTGAATTTCCCTGAGTCTGTACGGAATTGGAGGGATTTCGAGAAAAGGAGATGGCTGTTTCCGGGTCGAGAGAGCTAAATCGATTGAGCAAACCAATGTGACACTCTTCAGACTTCCATCTTCATTTTATTTATTTGTTTTTATCAAGGGCGTCCTGCAAGTGGCGAGATGGCATTAATCTAGCTAGGAAGTGAAACCGACGCGCATTTTACAGCAGTGATTTTTAAGGGACATCTGCGTATTTCATCAATAGGATGGTCACCCTAACGCCGGGGATTCTGCTGAAGCTCCTGCAACATATCAACTCAGATGTGAAGGCTGCAGGAGAGCACCGCTCCGCGCTCTTGCAAGTGATCTCCATAATGCCAGCGCTGCACGGTAGCGAGCTCTGGCCTAACCAAGGATTCTACATTAAGGTTTCAGACTCGTCGCACGCCATGTACGTTTCGCTTGGAGAGGAGCATAACGATTTAATCCTTAGTGACAAGCTGCAATTGGGACAGTACATTCACGTGGACAGGTTGGAGGCCGGGTCCCCAGTGCCGCTACTTCGAGGAGTGAGGCTTGTGCCTGGGCGCCATCAATGTGTGGGAAATCCGGAAGACCTTGTGGCCGCGGTTGTGCCCACGTCGGCAATCGATGTTTCAGTCCAACCGGATCTGTTTCAGCCGGATTTGCGCACCTGGGACACCATAGACACCAGATGCGATTCTAACAGGTGGGTGGAAGTAGCCTGATCCGATGAAGTTGATTGCCTCGAGTTGTCGGGCTGCTGAAGATTTGTTGACCTGTGATGACAGATTGAATGGCAGGTTTGATCCACCTTCCGTGGAAAGCATTGTAAGGAAGAATGTGGCGAAACCGAACGGGCCGTTCGTGACTGGGCTCATCGGGAGGTCTCCTTCTTCCAGGTTTCAGGATGTGGAAGTTGTGTTGGAGAAGACGATTGAAATTTCATCGGACAACTGCGGGGCGCAGAAATTTGCGCGTGGCACCATGGCCAGAACGGTGTCGTTCAGGCCCCAGCCTGGTTCCGAGTTTGCGAGGTCAAGTGTGCCGCTGGAGGAACGAAGGACAATCTCGAGGTCGAAACTGCGCGCAGAACATCCGAAAGTGAATGTAGATTGTACCTCGGCGCTAAAAGAGGAGAGGAAAACTTCGTCCCCTTCACGATCCCAGTCTATTATGAAATGTACGTTCTCAGACGAAAGAACAACAGCATCTTCATTCCCCAAGAGCGTTGTGGCTCGTGCCGATGATCGTATTATCTCCTACAGAGATTCTTCCACCATCACTTCCAGGGCCAAGCAAACATCGCCCATCACTAAAAGGTGTGTGAGCACAGGTAAAGTTGTAAACAGCGTTGATGCCACCAAGAAACGCATCGATGGTAGCACTGGTCGAGCTGCTGAGCCAGTCACTACAGCTGTCAAGAACACGCTGCGCAAGAGCTGGGAAGGTTTGGCCGTTGCCAAGAACTCCAAAGATCGTCCTCAGCCTAAAACCTCCAAACCAGACGTGAAGGCTAAGTTGTGGTCGTCGGTGAGTGAACAAATCTTTTCTCAACTTGCATTTCGAGCAAGTTCTGGCCATGGCGAGCAGGTTTCGGATTGCTTGACGTAGCATGGCTGATTGAACCTGAATGTGTAGGTGTCTGGGTTGAGGAATAAGCTTGTGGAGAGTGACGGAACGTCGTTGTTAGACAAAAGATCGTCGTCACCGCAGGTATCAAGCGGGAGGCCGAACCAAGGAAGAACAGACAGCTCTAGCTCTACGGTAGGGTCCACCTCCCCTACCCACTCTACGTCCAGCGCCACTGTGAATGACATCGATGTATTTCAGAGACACTCCGGTGGTCACTCCTGGAGCTCCCTGCCTGGCAACCTCGCCACGTTTGGCAAGGTCAGTTGTTGCAGTCACTCTGGCACCACTACATATTATTCCAAGTTCCTCTCGAGTATTCAGGTCGTGGGTTTAAAGTAACATTGATGTGCGGTATCACCTTTCGGAATGAATTCGCTATTGAGATTTTGATGTGTTCGCAGAAAGCATTGCAGTCGAGGGATGCTGCAGCACTGGCAGCGGCTGAAGCACTTCAAGAAGCTTCAGCAGCGGAGAGCGTCCTTCAAAATCTCAGGCAAGTGAAACGAGCAACCTGTTAATTACCGTGTAGTGCTTCTCTCCTACAACTGAGACTTCACAACGTTTGAATGAATCATCATCAGGGATTTGGAATCGAAATCTGTTGAAAAGTCCCTCACGATTCCTGTGAATTGTGCAGTATGTTTGCGGAGCTGTGCTCTGATGCGCGCATTGATCATCCGCAACCCTCTGTTGAACTCTTTCTGAGCCTCCACCATTCTCTCAAACATGCAGTGATCGTATCAAATGCTCTCTCTACAGCTCGCAACGCTCCAGAATCTGCCACTCTCGCAGACGACATCAGCGAGGCGGCGATTGGGAAGGCTCAAGTTGTGATGGAAAAGTCCTTGAGCGCTGCGAATTGGGTCACTGCTGCTCTCACCTCTGATCTAGCTAATTTTTCAACTCAGATTAAACAAGCCGGATCCACACCAGGTAATGCTCTTCGTAACGCGCCAAAGAGGACCTCGAATCCGCCGTTGCAGGTCATACCGGACAATCCTAGCACGGTGCCCCGAGGGAGGAGTTCCTCACCCTCTGTAACAAGCAGGAACATTTTATCAACTCCAACGTCTCCGAGCCATCGCCCTGCCCTGTCATCTGTGAGCCACATCGCCAATTTAAAGAGAACCGCTGCAGAATCAAGATCGCAGTCTCCAGTTAAGCCCAAACTCCACTCCTATGGTGCAAATTTATCCTGAACTTTAATTGTATGAGCAGCGGTTAGTTCCGAGTTATGCCTGGAAAGCATATCATGATGCTGACTTCTCCTCCTTATGAAGGGACCTGTGCTGAGTTCTCGACGAAGCAGCGCAATCAGCAGAATTGGGCTAGGGAAGAGCTCCAAAACAACAAGCAAGGTGTCTCCTGAATCGCAATCCGTGGAGCCGAAGGCGCCCTCAGCTCGAAGTGCTGCAACGCCGCCACCTGTATGGGTGAGGGGAAAGGGAGTAGCGGAAACCGCAGAGCTGGCGAAGCAACTGGAGAGTGAAGCTCAGTGGTGGTTCCTCAACTTCATGGAAAGAGCTCTGGATGTGGGCTTCCATGAGGCTACCTCAGCCAGCAATGAGAGGGATGACCCACTGCACGGAGCCAAAGTGATGAGCCAGCAGGAAAATTGCCACATTGCCACTATGTTGTCGCAATTGAAGCGAGTGAATGACTGGTTGGACGAGGTGGGCGATGGACTGGGTCCTAAATGGATTGAAACAAAAGCTCGTTTGAAGCGAAAGATTTACGACTTTTTGCTTCAGCACGTTGAATCGGCTGCTGCAGCGCTAGGAAATGTGTCTTCCATTACGGTTTACTCCTAAACTCAGTTCATTAACAAACCAGCAGCCGCTGCATGTATAAGTTTGAGCTTATTGTCACCACAAGGCTCAGAAGCGTCGTTATAGGCAAAATGGTGGATCGTTGTTGAATGAGACAAGGTATAGTAATTATGTTCAGACGAAAGCGATACAAATAGGTGGTCTATAGGATAATGACATTTGCGGAAATAGTGAGGCAATAACTGCAACGTGGGGTTGAAGTGAGCTTTGGGATTGCACTGCTGTTGTAGAAGCCGTGCCACTGCGAGAAAGCTGCGAGGGAGGCTGATGAGGAACAAAGCTGCCTTGGCGACCCTCGATGACGCCTACACTCACGTTGACAAGGTTGAGGATGAAGCACGATTAGGTGAAAATACTACAGTAGAGCAAGTTGAGACGGTCGGTTCTACACGTGCGTTGGAGTCGGCCATATCAGGCTTGCCAGGCCTTGTACATTACGTTCTTGTTAATGAATTCATTCCGTTCCGTTCTATTTGCCTCTCCTGATTCCAGCTTGGCGGCCTGTCATCCATTGCACTGCCTCTTGACGCCAGTAGTTTGGTTTTAGATGAAATGTCGATCCTGCACTCTAATCCAAAGCGTTCATAGTTCCTGCTGAGTCTGCTGTGGCTTCAGAGGTCTGCTTACAGAACAAGTTCAAGTCTCGCTCAAGGTACTGAGTATCCTTGTAGAACTCAGAACTTGGAGAGCATCCTTCCTGTAATGCTTCCGTTAATTACAAAATGAGTTGATTCTCAAAGTGTCCTATAGCAAGACAGAAAAAGCTAGGATACGGATGTATTAGAACAATATTATCTTTGGTTGTACACTGTTTTTGGTGACCCACTTTGGATTCGTCAAGTCCCGGAGCTTCTTGCCGATGCCGGGATCAGGAAGCCGACTCAATTGTGATGGTCCCTTAGATAAGTTGCAAGACTGAGATACGGAGATTACTCTCGTAGTGTCTTTGGTGGTTCCGATCAGCAGTCAGCCATTGGCTGTGGTGAGTCCGCGTCGTTTTCCTTGTGGCGCACTTATGAAGGGCATAGCCTATCTTATGGAAACCCTAGTAGCAGAGGCTTCAAATATCAGATACTCGAAAACTTGCATAACATATTGACATTGGAAGCTGGCCGAGCTGCAGCAAAGGCAGAGGCAGCGTTAGCGAGCAAGAACTCTAGGGATCCTACACGTAAATCGCCTTTCAGCAAGAAACCATCCAGCAGGTTTATCTCCAATTGTCTTTCCTGTTTGTTCAATGCGGTTGCTGAAATGATCGTGTTGCCATTTGCCAGTTTGTTTCAGTTTTCCCTTTCTTTTGGTACAGTTGTCTCCCACCTTTGCGCAGGTCTTAGATGTGTCCCACTACAAGAAGGTTTGAGGATAGAAATTGACAGACAAGCTCTGAGAAAATTATCATTTTCATACAGAAATTCGACAGTATCATAATGATCATTGCTCACAATGTAAAAGACTCGCAGAAGCATGCTTCAGACGAAGCAATCGTTCAAGTTATGGCACCAGCCAATACCACTTGATGCGAGATGTAGGTGATAAGACCAATCCACAAAAGGGTGATGGTAAGGAGCAGTCATCTCTAGATGGCTTATTAGAGGCACTAACCTTTTTGGTAAAGTATACAGATATGGCTCAGTCTTGTGGATACAGGTGAGCCACTTGCAGTTGAAGTAGTGCGGTTTTCGTCTTGTTACGAATTCGTCGCTGCAGCACTGTTCTATATCACGTCCCTAATTGCCGAGAAGGAAATCTGAGGGCTGAACATTTCCAGTGTGGGCTAATATCTCCTCAGTTACTTGCTTTGCTCTTACACTTACTCTCGCAATTTTGCGACTTGACCCACATAACCATCGACGATGCCGAGTTTCAGAATCGAAGCAGCGTTAGTTCTGAAATCCTCACTTGGTGGGACGAGATTAAATTCCTTACAGGGAGTGGAGTTTCAACTTTACTTGCAATCCTGCCACACCCGCTTTTACCTACAGCCTTAGAAAGTTCTCCATCATGAGGGAATTATTCAATCCTACCTTAGTCGAATGACACAAAGGGAGATATGGCGTCATTCCGGCACTTCTTGTGCATTGAAATCTCAACCGGGTCTTCACATTCGAATGGTCACCGCACTCTATTGCATAGACTGTAAACTACGATAAATCCTCCACTTCCAGTAATATGCTAAAAAAAACCCTTCACGGATGGATAAACTACAGGGATTCTGACCTCACCCGGACGGCGTCAGGGCAATGGATCGCGTAATAATTAATAGCATCGGATATAGTGGAGCGGCGAAATCTGTGGACAGGGATGCCAGGAATTTGGCATTTGTATTGCACGTTCCGAAGCGCTGCGTTATCGGAAGCGGAGAGGCAATGGGTGCTGGGCATTGGCAAAGTTGCGGAACTCAATGGTGAACCATCGCTAATGAACATCAGTTGATCAGGAGGATTTCTGTATGCTTTCCACTCTGAAGGATGAGCAATTCGCTTTAGAGGTCGCAAAGGAATTGGGGACCACAGGGGCCTGGGGTTAAAAGAGGACGTGGGTACAACAGGAATGTAGCTCTATTCGACACTGTTCCGGATGTTGCTGTGCTCATTGTACCGGGGTCGCGCGAGTGGTGGCGAAGAATTTTCCCATTGACCTTCGATTGCATGTTTGCGAAAGAGAAAAGCTGCACAGCGAGTCCTGTCTTTATCGCACGCGCGCGCCATAGCCGTAGCATCTAGATTGTTAGCTCAAGAATTGAGAATCATGCCTCTAACATTGCAGGCTCTGTCTGATTGTGCCACCTTTTCGCTGTTGAATTCTAGAACCTCGGCAACAATCTCATCTAAGGGTCGCCGTCAAAGCCAAATTCGTAGCACATCTCCTTGGACCCTGTCACGTCTAGTCGTGAACAGGTCGCCTCTGACTTCCATCTCCGGCGCAAGATTTCAACTAAATGGCAGCATTGTAGGAGGACCCAATGGATCAAAGACATATCAAGTCCCAAACAAGAGTAACAACTATGGCGTAGCGAGGGAAGAAAAACGACAATTGGTTGGATCAGTAGAGTCATTAGAAGAAAATGGCGACTCTATGCGAATGGGATTGTCGAAGATGGCTGTGTTAACAGGTTTGGTAGCGTTGCAGGTGTGCATGCCCGCGTTCGCACAGAGTCTGGGCCTGGAAGTGGCGCGCTCTAGTGATTCCACGGGACTCATGACGGACGTGAGCGATTTTCAGAGCGGGTTTTCATCGGCATTTCTGCTCATCTTCTTCTCTGAAATTGGGGACAAGACGTTTTTCATCGCAGCCCTACTCGCAACGCGGAAATCGAACATCGCTGTATTCACAGGCACATTCGGAGCTCTGGCGGCAATGACAGTCATCTCGGTAGTATTGGGGCGCGCATTCCATCTCCTAGACAATTTAATCCCCACTTTAGGAACCACGCAATTGCCGCTGGACGATTTGGCCGCGGTAGTGTTGCTGGTGTACTTCGGCATCTCAACGTTGTTAGACGCCGCATCCATGGAGGGTTCCAAAAGCGAGGATGAGAAGCAGGATGCAGAGTTAGCCATAGCGGGAGTGTCAGAGGACGGGAGCTTAGGGTTGCAAGCTGCTGCAAGCACCATTGCAGCAACATTTGTCCTCGTATTTGTAGCAGAGTGGGGGGACAAGTCATTCTTCGCCACCATTGCGCTTGCAGCAGCGTCGTCGCCAGCCGGAGTGGTCACGGGTGCCATTGCTGGGCATGGCGTGGCCACCGCGTTAGCGGTGCTTGGAGGCTCCTTTTTGAGTGAGTACGTCTCCGAGAAGCTAATCGCGTACACTGGAGGAGTTCTATTTCTGGTTTTTGCCGCTACAACTTTAGTGGACATCCTCAAGTAGCTATCTCGGACATATTCTCGAAGGTGCCTTCATGAGTTCTAGCTTCCTATCCTCTTCACGCATTCATTTTGTGTTCGTACTGCTGCCGATGTCTCCGAGGAAAGGTAGATTACACACTGCTTCCTTAGAGAGAGAGGAGTTTCGGTTTTGTTGTCCTTCATTCTCGGCGCATCACATAGTTGCAGAGCCTCTGCAATTGTCATACAGATAGAATCGCAAGCACGTCAATTGCACATCTGCAATGGCAAATCTTATGTCCCTCCCTCGTGGACCCTCGTGGACTTATAACGGATTTTGCAACCTCGTATGACCTCTGGTGAGGATCAAGCTGAGAGAAGAGGAGCCTGCAAATTCCATGTTCAGCATGTCGTTCCTGAAAGGAACTGATTAACAAAGGTGGCGAGGGCTGCAGAGTCTACCTACACCGTTGCTTAAAAGCCATTGTCCATTTTCAGCAGAAAACCGTGGCTTCATCTCAAGAACCGTTCTATGATAGTGGGTATCAGAAGTGCGTGTGGTGGATCTGTTAGGATGCCGGTGATTGCCATGGAACGCCATAGCTTGTTGAGCCTCTTTTCCTGAATTCCATTGAACATTCCACTTCTGTGATACAAGATGAGTTTCAAGATTGCATAGTTCTGCATAGAAGATTCCGACTAATGCAAGATATCAACTATTGTAGTATATTGCATGTGCAAATACATAACTGCCAATCCCCTTTCAGTCTACTGAAAAGATAACAAATGCAAAATATTTCCCTCGTGCGACTTCTGCATCTCATCTCTCAGTCATGCAACCAAGGAATTGCTGAGTAACAAGAACGAGGTATCATCTGTCTTACACCTCAGTTACCCCATAAATTAATAATGCTTCCAGCACCAAGCTAGCATCACATAATGTAGAGAAGAAACTCTGATATGCTGTTTGAAGCACAACTAATTCTCACACCAAATGTGTTTAAATGTGCAGCATTGTTATCTGGACTTCCGTGAGTAATGATACAAACTTGCAGTGGTGAGAATCAACCTGAAGAACGAGCTGTGAACTGTGGCATTGCCGTATGGAGAAACAGCACGTCTTGCACGGCCCCAAATATTTCTGAGGTCGTGTATGCCCCCATGAGGTCAGTCATTGGATTGTGTGAAGCTGGAATACCTCTCCTTGAATTGATGCTATTGTAGCTACTGGAGGCACATAGATAGAATCCTTCATCACCAGCAGCTTTCGAATGGTGTAACCTGTGGTATCCGTTAGGAGATGTCCAGGTTTCGTGCCATTCAACTGGACATCTCAACTGGACCCTGTTAATGGAACGAATTTCGTTTCCAAACATCTGCTGCTACCAATGCGAACGAACGCAACTGTGTTTGCAACGTGCTTTTGATGAGGACATCCATCCATGAGCTTCTGCGTTACATGCGCCACAAACTATTCTGGCCACCTCTCAAGCAAGCATTTCAGTAATTTCGGAATTTCTAATACATTTAAAATGACGTTGACAGGTATCTAATACGAGGGTGAGAGTCTCGGCAAAACTCGCATCACTGCGATTAAATTTCTCGCTTGTAAAGGAATGCTAATCCATTGATTCAACAGCTTCTGAATACAAGCTCCTGTCTAATATTCCTTTAATATCTGTAATACACAGGATATCGACTATAGCGCCGCAAAATTTACACAGGGTTGAGATATTGCTTGGCTGTCCATGACTCTCCTGGCTGGAGCTCCACTGGTACAAGCTGAAAAATACGTTGAAGCATACGTTGATGAGTACTTGATCAATTCGAACTGCAGCATACAATGTAAGGTAAAACATAAAAAGACAGATAGCAGGGTCAATTTGGGTGGAGAATACCTGGGCGTTTTCAACACAAACAAAATCCTTGTAAGAGGAATTCAAAGTCAAATGTGGATTCCAAAGCACCGCATCTGTCCATCTGCAAAGCCAGTCAAAATTTCAAAATTGGACTCAATCAGCAAGGAGACAGCTTAAGAAGGGTTATGTGCTGATCTGTTGTAACATGAGAGAACATGATGCATGCCGGGAGGTTTTTTGAAATATAGGGAGGTAAACATCCTAACATAAACATAAGTGTCCTCGCAACTAAATCTGCAAGATACAATAATTTGTAAGTTGTGAAGCATCAGCATATTGAGAAAGAAACGAACCCATCGTTTCTAACGGAAATCTTGGTGCCCAATCCGTTGTCCAGCAACAACTCATCAGGAGTGTTTTTATACATAGTGTCCACAAATCCTGGAAATTCGATGACATTCCTGCATATTAAGTACATTTATCACATCGTAAGCGGCTTAAAACAGATGGATCCAAGAAAATCTTACATCATCACTCAGATCTGCTGTTACCACTTAAATTTTAACACCAAAACAGAGGAATGCTCTATTCAGTAGCAAACCTGTCTTCCAAGCCCTGAATAGGGTTCGCAGGATCTTCATACGGTTTGTCAAGTTTTGTGCAGCCTTTCAATCCCGCTACTGATGTCTTAGAAATGTCAGCCTGCACTCAGGTTCACATGACACATTCCAGAAATAGCCTTTATTGGATCAATACAATTTACACATACAAGGTTTATCAAGATCATGATTCACAGCATTTCACAACATTCCCATCAGCCTCTTTCACTTACCCGGAAGTAGGAGTGAAGTGCAGCCGTGAAGGAGAAGGGATTGGTGTCGGTGTTTTTAACCGTCAACTCTGTCGTCAATTTGTCAACACCTAACACAATCTGTATATTTCAGACACAGAGAACTCTATTGTTAGGACAAAAATGAATGAACCTATTACTTCTCCTCTTGAAAAGTACGCATCGAATAATAAAGTAATACTATAAACAACAGCGAACAACAAACCTAGTACCTTGTATACGTACCAGATTACTAGACTTGGGGATTGAAGAATTCAAATCGCTAACATTATTTGAGAAAATATTCATAAGAAATTCATGAGGGTGCGCTAAATTAATTGCCTCACCTTATATGTGTTCGAAAATTCGTGAAGCCATATTTTGCGACTGTAGTCGCTGGGTTGCAAGCTCAGAACGAGAGTTGTGGTCTCATCATCGCTTTGTGCGCTTTCAATAACCCACAACATATTCCGTGCGAAACCATGCTGAAATTCAGAGTCAATGATGTGGGCTTAGCTAACATATACACTTCGCATAACAAAAGAAGCCACGTCTTTCTATCTCATTATGAAGAGGTCATACGATTCTTCGTCATTCAGAAACAGTGCTTAATGCCACACAGCATCCAGAACTGACCGGAAATTAAAAAGCTAAGAACAGAATACGGTACAGATGAAGCGATATCCCCGCTATCAACTCTGGGAAAGAATGAACTAAACATTTGGATTTTAAACTCTCTTGATATAATCACCAAACATTAAATCCTCTGGATATGATAAATACGACAAAGCTATCGCATGTTTCCTCTTGCCTCAAAATCTGTAACAGGAACTAACCCCAGTACTGCCTCTTTCAGTGGAAGTGGAAAAAATTTTGCTCAAGACGCTCTAGACATACTCAAAGATATTCCTATAACTAATAAGCAGAAAAGGGACTATTACCTGTTGAATAGGACCTGGACCAAATTGAGGAAAGCAATGAGGGATCCCACCACTGCATCAGCAGAAGTTTCAGCTCAAAAACTCAAAGTCGTGCAAGATATGAAGACTCTTGACACAAATGCCAAACCTCCGTATACTATATAGAAGTCACAATGCTGATTACAATATTTGCAGTCGACAAAATCACTGATTCTTGAAGGTATCCTACATGAATCCGGGATTGATTAATGTTTTCTTAGCATCTTATCTGTTATTGAATTTGTAGGAGGATGTAAAGTGAGGCATCACCTAATCGGCTTCTGTCCAGTAAATATAGCGTCGGGCCTAACAAACAACAAGTCCTTGCCATCCGATGTCTTCCATGAAGTGATACATGCTCCAAATAAGTAAACCTGTGCTTCATTGCTTACAAGCCACACCAAAGCACCACAGAAGGGCCTCTTTCATCAGAATCTCAGCATCCCATTTATATAAATACATCTAAACATCATCCCCTATACTAACACTTTTTTGCGAGTACTAATGTGTGGTGTGGCACAGTACAAGGTGAGGCAAAATCAATACAGATCGCAATCAATCAGACAAGACAATCAACCAACACATTGACTGTATTAGTTACATATAAAATTAAACCTGCCGTCTGGAGATGAAAGAACGACTTTGGTGAGGCCACCCTCCCCGCTTTGAACCTTTACTCCTTTGGTCTCATGCGGTGCGCTCGAATCGTCAGCTAATTTTGCCGAAACCCTGCATACGTAGCAACATCTAGCTCAATTTCGCAATCGCACCAGAAATTACAGGCTGCAGCGGTTTTTAGCACAAACAATGACCACGATATGTAATACAACTAACTTCATCCTCGAAACCCTCGCGCCCATCGCCCCTTTTTCCAACAATCGAATGCGTACCACAGGTTTCCCAAAATCAAAAACCCATTTGTAACTTCGTCAAATCTACCGTAAGTGAGTCCTTCCAAACGAATTCTGTGCCTGATTCTTACCCGGTAGCCTGAGAAGCGCATGGAGACGCAACGCCGGAAGGCAATGCACGAGACGACATCGTAGACAAAAGAGGCGAGGCTTGAGAGGGCAAGGATGAGCGTTTCCACGAGAGAGCATTCGAGTGTGCAGTGAGAGATGCAGGTGAAGAAGAGCGTGGAGGTGACAATACCACGCTTACAGCGGAGGTGGAAAGTGTGCTGGAAAGTTTGAGCAATGCCATCGCTGTGAAGCCACAAATACAATTAAAATTAAAAATCAAGTGACAAAACAATGAGACTAGGATCAAAGACGTTGGATCCTTCCCCGATCAAGGATAGCAACATTATACTCTGAAGAATTGGATCGTGTAACCTTCCACCTTACGGTTCGCCACGTCCACACCTATGAGCAGTTTTGGTGCATTCTCCTCAGTGCCAACGAATGCGCTAATTCCTACCCATTCCATTCATTCATTGATTTCATGTACATCACACTTGTGATGCCAATCGTGCACATATTCGATGAGTACATATGTGATACTAAAAAGATTTCCAGCCACTAATAACCTACTAAAAAATCCGTTCATGCCTTGAATTTCAAACATTTAGCCAATAAAAATTAATTGTCACGAAACTCTACTAAAGATCAGAATACACCCAGGTCTATTTGCATACATTCACCTCATCATCAGCCCAGAGTCATGGCATCATGCCATTGTTTCCTGTGCTCTGATTTGTCGCACGCTCTGCTGGATGACGACCTAGATGGAGACTTAACGAATTATTTTATTTCACCAGACACTGTAAGATTCAATGCCACTGTATTGCACTTCTAAACACAACCAGCCACGTAAATTGCTCATGCGGCCAATTTTCACGTCACTTTATATCACATAATTGGTGTTAACTCTTGCTCATGGCAACATCATGACGCATTTAGTAATGAGAGATGGAGATTCGTTTTGAATTTCATTTCAACTTTATACATGGCTGAGGAAACCGGTTTATACACGCCTCAATGCAAATTAAGGTCCAACTATGTCATCTCAACCCCATACCGCGGCTAACCTTGTGTACAGTCGACAGAACTAGAGGTGGTTGCTTGATGAGCAACTGTAAGTGCAGTGAAACTCAACTTGAATTCACAGATTATCTACAAGGACAAAAGAATGCATTAACAGGAAACAAGCTACACACACGTCGTTGCCTCGATAGGTGCTGATTCTGTTACGTCAAGTTTGCAAACAGGACACAGCTTAGAGTAGTTGAGCAACCACTCAGCTCCACAGGCCTGATGAAATCCATGATGGCATGGAAGTTTGACCTGTGTATCGCCGTGTTCGTATTCTCCTAGGCAGATTAGGCACATTTCTGATGCCTGACCGACAGGTGCTGCTCCTTCGATACTGATGCAGCATACCGGCAAGGCAGCAACTACTGCAGAAGAAGCTACACAACGCACATCCTCAAGCTGCACCAGACTCTGCCAATTGTAACAAACTTTTGCTCAGTCGAACAAGATTTTTTTACAACGACCAATTTCTAAAGTGTTGATAAAAGCAGTTTACCAATCAGAATTTACTTAAGGACAAAGGTTAAATATAAACCTCATAAGTCATGTCAGCAACGACAGATACGTGTGAACTTCCGATGTGTTGAACGTGGGCAATTGAGCTCTGCTCCGTGATTGAGACGGACAGCGCTGTTGCAACACCAACAGGTACAGAGATCAGAATAAGTTCCTTATAGCACTCAGGACCCAGCGTTCATCACAGGGATTGAGATAATCTCACTGCAGCAATTCGGGAGATAAAGAAAGGAACAAAACATTTCGACAACACAAAAAATTAATGATCTGTCAACCCTAACAATTGACTCAATAGTAGATGGCCAAACCCCCCACCCCAATCATACCTTCCGGACTAATAGCAAGGGCAAAGCATCGGACAAGGAACAAAAGCGTGATGCAAGACAATCTGCAGTATTCCCTGGAAAGATACCAAGATGATTACCCAATGCCAAGTGAAGGTCTAGATTGTCGTCAAGTCCTGTGACGTAATCATCGTTTTCTAATTCATTCAGGCACTCCTGCAGGTCATCTTGAGCGCAATTCCGTCGCGAAGATCGCCTTGCACGACGACGTGAGTTAGGAGGGCTAGGAAGCACTACGCTGTATCCCTCGTCTTCTTCTTCTACATACTGACCCCACCTTTGTTGTTCAATCCTCCGTTGTTCGGCTGCATGCCTCCTCCTCCTACCTGCCATGTTCAAAAATTATAAATCTGCTTAGAAAGCTATAACAACAGCCAAAATCTACACAATTTACAAGCTAACGTCGAATGCCTTTTGTTACAACAATTGTTTTGAAACCAGAATTTGATTACAAGAAGGTTGACTACGAATCGTTCTAAGGAAACTAATTGAAACCCCAATAAAAGAAGGAAATGCGCTATTACCTATTATTCCTGACAAGATAAACGAGGAGAATTGCCCAGAATCGTAGAATTCAACAACAATAGACGAATGCTGAATATCCAGTACAAAGATCACCTCTCCATGGGTACCAACAGTATATGACATTCAAGATGTTACTCGTTTCAGAGTAATACAACGATCCACGAGAACATGATGCAGGAGAATAAGCTGGTTCCTGTACTCCAGTACCTTTCCCAGCCTTCCTCTCGTTTCGTGTATTGTTTCCACCGGCTTCTAAGCCTGTACATAAATAAATAAAACTCTATACAATCAGTACAGTAGAATGTTCTCACTGAAATACAAATTACAATTCATTACATATAACTGAAAGGGAAACCATGTCCATGGAAATGGAATGAAGTATGTCAGGAATGAATTTTTAAGTATAATACCTATAGGTACGGTAACTCTATAATGCGACAATCTTTTCGTGCCAAGTATGCTAATTCTTATATTAGGTTGATTAGATTCGTACTGTTTCGCTTCTGAACACGAAACTAGGCCATTTCAGGCGTAGATCGGTAATGAACACAAAACATGCCACACACCTATTCTGCTCGTATTCGCTACTCCGCCATTCGAAGGAGCAGCAGTAACGGCGACCTCAATGCTCATATTAGTGTAAGAAGTGAACTCTGATGGAACCCCGGCTACACCGCCGAGCTGTCGTCGAAGACTTCTTCGCAACACCCCGGCACCTTCGCCCTGATAACAGTCAAAAAATATTCGCTTCAATAAACTCCACTCTATTCGCCCCGGCGTGCCTCGAAATTTACGCCTCCTGGCAGAACACTCTGAAATCAGCGTACCAAGAATGAGCTGCACGGTTCCGACTTCTTATTAATAACATTCCACAAGTCAAAGGCTTGAGAGATGTGACAGAGAAGCCATAGCAGAGGAAAATGTCATCCATGTTTCGAGACTCAACTCGGGTCACGATCGAACACGAATTCAGTTGGCTGCACAAAACAGTTCTCATACGCGGCACAGAAAACTTCTCAAGAAGGAGCAAAACGATTTCACGTTCCGTAGCACATTGGCATTCGATCACTTCCCAACCATCAAATTCGAAAAAAAAAAAAAAAAAAAAAAAAAAAAACTGCACAAGAACAAGTTCCAACCACCTGCGACAGCAACACAAACTAACAATCTCAAAGCGAAAAAGGGCATTAATCCCTTGACGCAGAAATCAGCAGTTCGCTAATCAAGATTTCACACTACCACCACACACCTCAATCATGCGCAAAACTGGAAACTCCCTGATCGCACTCATCCAGCAGAGCAAAGAAACTGGAACACTCAACACGAAGGAATCCTTTCTCGAGCGCGAACGCCTGGAGGTGGAACAAGCTTCACCTCTAACGCTTGTCCACACGAGCTGGAAGGCGTTAGCACAGGACGAGAAGAGTGGCCACGCCACCAACTTCGGCAGAGGAACAGAATTGGTGACAAGAAGCGAGGAGGGGCTCCATAAGGGGGGTATCAATAGGAGAAGAGCAATCAGAGTGTCTGGCAGTGCACCAGAACATGTGCCGGTGGTGGCGACCTGCGCGGTGCCCAGCTTGCGAGAGTAACGTCTGGCATGGTGTGGTGCGGGGGGAGGCGGGGAGCAGCACAGAGAGGGAGTCGCATCCTCGGCGCAGCATATACTCTTCATGCGGTGCTGCTCCTCCGCCTCCGACGTGTGGCGGAACGTGCTCTCTCCCTGCTGACGGGTACTGCATCGGGCGCCGCAGCAGCTCTCTTCACCACGTACCTACTCCGTATATTTAAATGTATGAATGTACACCATATGTGAGAATATACCCTCTTCCCGGGGGAATCTTCCCCCGGGACTTGCCAGCATGGCACCGCGAGTGAGCGGGTTGACCCGGCCGAGATGCATGGTCATCAACCCGCGAGAATGTGCTCCGTCGTGATTCTCTGATTCTGCCTTGGATTTTGCTTCTCGGGCAATTATTTTAAAGGATTTTTTTTGTTGGGGTGCTTGAGATTCGCATAAATTTAATTCTACACTAACTTATTACATTCTTGTTTATTGGTGATGTGCATATTAGTTTGTATTTTCAGAGTGAATTGTAGAGAGTACATAATAAATGTGTTAAGAACTTTTCTGTCAAAATATTGATTCAAACCTTATGTTTATCAGCTTAATCCTAGAATCTGTTTATTTTTATTACTGAATGGTGTGTAACACACTGCTTTTATTAATATGTTTTTTTAAATGATAAGAAAAATGGGATCAAGTAGAGAGCTATCACGTTCTAAACATTCTAACCAAAAATATACCCACTCTACTGTCTTATCAGTCACATACTAAAATATTAAAACAAATATTACAAGATACTTTGTAAAATAAAGCATTGTTTCTTCAAATGAAAAATAAATTAATAAAATAAAATGTCTCATCACCATTAGACTACATTTTTATATCTACAACTTGAAAATGGCATGCATGTCTTTGAATCCAAATAGATGCTTAAAATCTAAACATGCTATCTATTTAAGGCTAGTTCCAAAAAGAATTTAGAAGGCATAAGATATTCATAAATCACCATTTCCATTTTATTTTTTAAAAATTTCACATTAATCATATGCAAAAAATACTTGATAACAAATTTTAATGTCTCTATTAGACTATCTTTAGCCAAGATATACAATAATAGTCCATGGTAGAGTCAAAAATCAAGTTTATTTTATTAAAAACGATACAAGATTAGATCAATAATATAACTTTCCAAAATTTATTTGAATTTTTTATTTGAAGAATCAAGCTTTATCAACATATATATATATATATATATATATAGATATATATATATATATTAAGTAAATAAAATAAAAACCAATTGGTACAATTCACACTTTTTCGATAATTGGTACATAACAATTAGTGGAATTCACACTTTTCCAATTAATTATAATTATTTGTGGCTTTACATAAATTTTTCAAGTATTATATCCAAGTGAATTTTACATATGATAAATCTTGATTCAATAATATTCCTTATTCACCAAGTTTGAGACAAAAATAATCCTAAATATACTATTTTTTTTTGGATAAGACTTAGGCCAAATCTTATTAAAAAAATTTATATCAGTACAATATTATACTGCTTTATTTTTATTGATTTAAGTGGGATTAGTTTATAAAAAGTATAAAGTAAAAAAATGAGTATATATATATTTTTTAATATTTTAACCAAAAATAAAATTCTAGTTATATATATAGAAAGAAAGAAAGAATTCCAATAAGATGAAAAAGATAAAATTAATCAACTTTTGGGATGTTGATAAGATATTGCCATTATATTATAAGTCATTGCAAAAACTAAAAAAATAACTATAGAAGAAGTCTTAGATATAACTTTGTTAAGGAAGAATTCTATACATAGATTTTTTTTAATAGTAATTAGTATCATTGGTGCTTTCAAAAAGAATTTTGATGCAATGAAGATTGTTTGAATGTGGGATTGTAGTTTGATGAGATTATAAATGAATATCAATTAAAAAAAATTAGAAATTCTATCATAATAAATAATTCCAAATATTACAAATATGTATTGGAAATTTAAATCTAAGAATTTTATACATTTATATCTATATTTTTCTTATTTTTTTCCATATATTTTCATCAATATACTATTTGTAATTAGAAGTGAGTGACCAAAGAAGATCTAATATCTATTTCTCATAAGGAATTGATTTAGCATTCATCATTCTAAATATGAATAATACTAAAAGTTTTCTTGACCAAGTTGAAAGGCATGTACTATCTATTTGAACAATAATATTTTGGTGGCTTCTTTTGAGTTAATGATGCCAAGAAATGTATCTAATTTAAAACTAAGTAGTATTATGTCAAGAACATATATAACTATCCAAATAAGAAGGATTAGAAGTCAAAAATAAAATTTAAAGTCTATGCTAAGAAGTTATAGAATTAAGAAAAGAAAGTATATCAGCCTTACAACTGAATACAAGAAGTCTTAGTACATTAAATAAGAAAAGTACAAGGATTAATATTTCACAAAATTTTGATGGAACAAGATCAAAAGTTTAAGGATTTTAACAACAAAGTAAGTTCTATCTAAGATTACATCATTATCGATATCCTAATGACTTTATTTAAGTTGGATTCATAGATACATATTAATTTAAAAGTATTTTTTCTTGGTTTGCATTCTTGATAGAAAAAAATTTATAATTCTTATATGGTCTAAATTTATCTTTAGGAGAATTTATGGCTACATTTGGAAAAAGTGGTTGAAAAAGAAACACAAAGATCAAATTTTTATATTTACAAAAAAAATCATGTTCAAAACTATTTTTGATGCTAAATTATAAAACCTTACTTACAATCTGGATTGAAATGATAATGTCTTTATTAATAAATTTTAATGTAGTTTAAGAGATGATGTCAAAGATTTTATTATTGATAATATCAAAAATAGATTCATTAGAAATATTTATTACTTAAGCCATTGCATGCAACAATCAACTTTTTAAAATGCATCAAAAATAAAGATTTGAAAAGAAAAGAATAAATAAAATTATAATGATCATTTCTAAGTTTTTAAAAATTTATTCATCAAGGGTAGAATATATGCAAATTGATATAATATATTTTAAATTCTTCACTAAGTAAGAAAAGACTCAATGTGGTTAAAAAAGATTGTACTTATATTGTGGATAATATAAGTATATTATTTAACATTCTCCAAAAATGAAATATAATAAAAAAATAATGAGCATGATTGCCAAAAGAAATATTATATTAAAAAATAAGTTTGACTAGCTATAATAAGAATTAGATCACTAGAACTTTATAGAATACCTAATAAAGTCCTATTCTTTTCTTAGATATTTTATTTTATTTTATAATAAATGTTTGTTTAGGATCAAAAAAAATTAAAATCTTTATTTAGTTGATTCAAGAATATTAACTTGTTTTATAAATAAAAATATTATTAAAAAATAAAAAATATCTTTAATTAAAAAAATAAATCTATATATATATATATATATATATATATATATAAATTATAAATGATTGTTTATTTTCTTTTAAAGATATTTTTTATAAAAAAAAATAGAAGAAAAAAGTAATGGCTATATTACCTTAATAATATTTAATATTATTAGATTTTTTTCAAATTTTAGTTTTATTATGACTAAAGAAGTATAATCTTTAAATATATTAAATTTCTTATAAGTATGATTTTTCTATAGCATAATTCAAATTTATGTTATTGAAGTAGAAAATCATAAGTCTAATACAACCAAACTATAACAAGGTATAGATAGGATATTTTTATTATTGACACATAGGGATAGATAGTTGGAACCATATTTGAAAAAATATGGAAGTTTTTAGAATTGGAGCTAAATTAATAGACTATATAGGATCCATTGTAGAACATTTTAAAAAGAGCTTAGGATGGTTATTTAAGTAGGACCTACCATAGAACCTTCTAGAAAGAATTTAAGGTGGATATCTAAGTAAGGTCCATCATGTAAGAACATTTTAAGAAGTCCAAGGTAGTAAAATAAAGTATAAATAAGACTAGCTAGGATCTTTTGGGGCATCTGGTCAAATATGGCTTCGGATCTTTTCTCATAATAAAATTTGGTTTTGCATCTTTCTGTTTTATTTTTATTTGTTCAATTTTGTCTTTTGTGTCTTATTCTATTTAGTTCTATTAAATTTTTTTCTCGTTCATATTCTCTTACTTTGTCATGAGGTTTTATATTGCTGTAGATTAGAAGAGTTTTAGACTTTTAAAATAGACTGGTCCAATTTTATTGATATTGGAGTAAGTGTTAGACTATTCTTTAGTAGTGTATCATCATTTAGTTTAAGATAAGTTGTTGTGGTCACATTAGGTATTGGATATTGGGTTGATGCTACCTTGAGTTATTCTTAAAAAGTCAACGGAAAGGTAAAAAGACATTACAATAAGAAACTCCAACAGAGAATTATAATATGAGAGATATGATAAAGTAATCCTAGATAGAGGCTCAAATACATCACTTCTTAGGCCAGATAATTACTTTACAAGGGCAAATAAAAGCCTTTAGGATAAGAAAATTGACATTTGCTAGGCTAAAATTTAGTAATCCTAATACATATTGTGGAACTTTAAGACAAGAAGATGTACGTCAATGTTTCTTTAATATGAAAAAATACCTCCAAATATCTAAAGTAAATACCACTAAAAAATTTATGTGCCCAGCTAGCTATTTGAGAGATGCGGCAGCCATTTAGTGGCAATATTGAATTCAAAGCTATAAAGCTGAAGGTAGATTTTGTGATTGAGAGGAGTTTGAGACCAAGTTTAAGAATCAATTTTAGTCCATCAATGGATAGAAGATAGCACACAATTACTTGATAAATCTTACACAATTTAGGTTGATGCAAGATTATGTTTCTTGATTCAAATCCCTATGTCTCCAAATTGGCAATATTTTAGAGGCGAAGATAATGGATTCATTTTTACGAGATTTGAAACCTAGAGTCAAGCGAGAGGTAGAAATAAGGAGCACACAAATATTTAAAGAGGCAATTAGGATTGCAAAAAAGGTCTATGCTATAGATTTCAAAAATCATAGAGCATAACATATAATACAAAGTCTTATGTTGCTATTTAATACTATGGCATAACAATCAATGTCAATAGAGATTAATGTCCTAGAAGGATCATTGACACGACATAGACAACAAATATTAGTACAAAAAGGATTGTGTTTCTATTATCGAGAGCCGGGCCATCAAATTGGACATTGTCTAAAATATCAAAATTCAAGCATTAATAAAACGAGGTAGGTTTACAATCTCAAGATTCACCAAGTTGATAATGAAACAAAGTAGAAAATCAAGGCTCT